GAGAGAACAATGATCATCAATGAAACCACTGAAGAAAATAGAGTGAAATATCGTTGCACCACCTCCAAAAATGAGCCTAAAGCTTTGATTTGGTGCCAATGGGTTGTCTTCTAACTGGTAACACACCATATGTGGTCGGCTTGGAGCCTGGCGATTGAGTAGTTTACTTGCTTTTGCATGACCATAGGGACACTTAGGTTGAACATGATGCTACAACGCATCTCCCTACTCGAAGTAAGAATCTTATGCCTACAAGCACACTTTTCTAAGCCTGCTCATTGGGAAAATTGACTATTTAAATCATCATTCGCAAAGATACGATATCACCTTTTTTCATAGTGGATTCAAGGGAATATATGTGGACTAATCCAACCAAAATGCAGATTATATAAATACTTATGGTTTTGGTTGATGAATCGACAAATTGGTCACATGTTTATCCATACACATTGCTGCTAAACCCCCTGGCCGATTAAGGGTTCACTATCCTAATTATCCCTTAAAGTTCAGGAGACTGGATAATGTCGGAGAGTTTTATCGATGGGTTTCGATAAAGTATTGCATGTATTTTGGGTTTATAATTGGACATTGAATTCTCATGTTCACCCCAAATAGCCTCACCTAGTGATCATAAAGCGTAATTTATATGATTGCCCGAATTTTGGTGAACGTACCAAGTTTTTGGTTTCTGCCCAAGGATATGCAATCTTGTACGTAGTTATGTTGGTCCGCCTTGAGGCCTATTTCCACCTGACCTATTCGACGTTACAGTTGGTTACTTACTGGGTACGAACCTGACGCTTCGTATTTACGCGATTTGGGTGTGCATTCCATGTGTCAAGTTGCACCGCCGCAACGTACCAATATGGGTCCTCAAAGAAGGATGTGAATCTTTGTCAATTATGATTCTCCTTCACACTAACTCTCTTAGAGCCCTTGCATACGATCTTTTTACCGCTCATTTGCGGGTTGTCACTTTGATGAGATAGTCTTCCTGTCGTTAAGGGGAGATAAAAACGTAAAGATTCATGTAGAACGACACGAATTTGCATGGATGTTGCCCACTATGTCTCATCTCGATCCTCGTACCACACAAGTGTGATAAGTAAGTGCGATGAATTCTAGCTTTCAGAATGTTGCTCCAGATGCATTCTTCTGATCTATAAGGATATATGTACTTAATGAATGTCGAGTCAACATCTCTGGAGGGTGTACCGCTCCTATTGGAAGGTTTGGATGCCCCTGTTGGACGGTTCAGTACACCGACGGAAAACTAATCAATCTGTCTTGGCTTGAAGCACGACAGATCACTCGGTTCATAGGATTCACTTCACTAGAAGAGGAAGACACGGCACAACAATGAATCCATACTCAATCGTTGTGTCAAATCATTTCCATCTCATGAGATTAATCCGAATTACTCTTGAGACTTGAAGTTCTTGGTCCTATATACTGGTTTAGATGAGTTAATGAAATTGAAATGAGATTATCATCGACGATGTTTTCACTTATATGGTAGCTACCAACATAAATGAAAAGCGACGATATTGAATCATGTTCCGTTGATTAGTGACAACATAGAACTGATTGGACAACCGAAATTACAATCCAGGTCAAATTCCTTACCAAAGTGTGTTTTAGACCCATCATTCTTACACTGCCCAAGGTAACCTTGTTGTGTTACAAGTGGGAAAGAAAGCGTATTGAGATGAATGAAATAATGCGATATGATGCACGCCTTACGACCAAAGTTTCTCTCAAACGTCATGTGATTGAATGCAGCATTATGAAATGTGGTTAGTGTTTCTCCATGGGGATAAAGATACGGAGATTTACATGTAAATTCTCGAAGAATTACATGGATTGACTCAAATAGTTCTAAACCACAGAACACTTTCTTAACTTATTTGAGGCGTTCACTTACAGATTGAAACAATCTGACGAATGTGGTATACCCGTCTAAGTGATTATTTGATCAGTCAGGGATTGTATGAATGCCCTTGCGTGTTAAACTATGAAGTCTTATTCCGAATTGCTAGAGTTACAGTTTCTGTCGTTGACACGAATCTCACTAAGACTCTAGAAGAGCTTGAGAAAATTGCCTTGCAACTGAAGACAGAATTTGAGATGAAGGATCTTACGAAAACTCATTTATGCCTTGACCTGAAGTTCAAGCGTTGTTTTGACGGTACCTTGGTCTACTAGTCGAACTACATCCCGAATGTGTTATCTTTGAGTATACCTATGATCGTTCATACGTTATATGCAAATGAGACCCTTGAAGAGGTTATAGAATCCGAATTTCCATATCTGAGTTCAACTTTGCACTTTGTTGTACTTAGCTCATTGTATTAGACATGACATCTTCTTCACTATTCATCTATTGGTAAAGATGCAGCATCGTGCCTACACACAACCACTGAATTGGTATTAAAGACGTACCCTGAAGGTACTACGAATTTGGGCAAATCCTAAAGCATCTTGAGCGAATCCAACCCCCCTGATCCTCGGAATGATGCTTGCCTTGTTGTTATGCTGATGCTGGTTACTTATCAAACCTGAACAAGGCAAAATCCCCAAATGGTTATGTCTTCACCGTTAAGGATATCGCAATATCTTGGAGGTCCACAATATGACCTTAGTTGCGAAATCTTCAAACTGTTTCAAGACTCACCTCACTTCACTACGCCATAAGTGAGACATGGTTAGGAGTTCTTGTTAAGTATATTCGAAGTACTTACTGTTTTCATCCATCATTGAGTCCCCACGATGATCCATGAAGACTATGTGGCATGTATCCACCCGACTAAGCCATGATACATCAATGAAGTCAAACCAAGACATATTGCGTCTACATCACATCAGTAAAGCATCAGGAGATTGAAGTCATGCAAGTCGATCCCAGACAACCTTGCCGACTTTTACACGACGTCACTGTCGAAGTCAACCTTCCAAAAGCTTGTCCGAGGAATTGGTATGCCTAACTATTCATATGAAATGCTTGTAGTTCTCTTTTGGAAGTTTTGTCAAACTCAGGGGGAGTATCCAAAAGTATACTCACTTGATCTTAATGCACTATTTTTCCCTACGATTAGGAGCATTTTTTCCACCAGGTTTTTGCTACCTAACTAGGTTTTGACGAGGCACCAATCCTGGGCTGATCATACCTTTATAAGCTCTTTTCCTTGCGTTTAAAAGACGTAAAGTTTTGACTTAATGCAACTTCTCACTTTTCTCTTTAGTCTATGGGTTTTTCTCCCACCTTAGGTTTTACCATAGCGAGGTTTTTTGAGTTTTACCTTTTTATGCATTCTTCCGTTGATCTGAAACTCGCATTCACTCATTGTGCCGATGACTTCATCAATTGTACTTACTTCATCACCGAAGACCTGATGCGCTATTTATTTGAGTATTTACACACTTAAGGGGGAGTGTTGTAGTCCTGTTGGATTAGGAATGTGATTGTGCAAATCCTATCATACCTAGGATATCCTTATGAGATTATACCATATCTCTTAGACTAGATATTATCCTATTAGAGTTGTAATCCTATTAGGGTAAGGATTTAATCTTCCCTACTACTATAAATAAACGCATAATGGGGTGGAATAAAACACACCTCACAATTACACATCTCTTTCTTCTTTCTCTATGTGCCGCACCTCCCTCCCTATCAATTCTAGTTTTTCTTTATTAAATTAGTTGGTTATGGGCCTCTAGATATGTTTATACAAAAGTAGAAAAAGAAAAAAAAACTATTATTATTCTTACAACAAATTTAATTAGAATTAATTGTCAAGCTTGAGCTACCGAGCCAAGTTTAAGCGTACCTTGAGCTGTTTTGTTAAAATTTATGAGCTGCTCAAGAGCTCTATGAGCCGAACATACCAATGCTCAATCCTGACTTGTTTTTTAATCGAACCGAACTAGGATTGGCTTGATTGTTTTACGAGCTGAGCTTCTACGAGCCAAACATGATGCAAGCTCAAACTGTTTCGAGCCAATTATCAACCCTAATCTCATGTTCAACTTTCCCTCCACACGGCATTGTATTATCATTGGCATAAGACGTATTAGATTGGGATTAAGGGGATTTTAATACCAATCCAAAATTTTCTGATTAAGGATTGTGTTTCAACTTTAATCCAGCAATTTTCGGATCTTTCAACATACATTCCAATTTTGAAAAACTTCGGACTTTTTAAAACTTCCGAATTTTTTTAACAACATATTTTGAATATTCCTAACAATTTGAAAAGTTAAAAAAAAATCCATACTAGAATATGTAAGAAACGTATGATAACATACAATAAAAAATGATTTATTTATGATTAGTAGAGTTTTGCTTTTGATTGATGTGGACGAGAGCTCACATATGCCATGAAATGTCGTTACTATCTATGAAAAACATTCTAAATATTTTTGAATTTTCCAACTGCAAAATTTCAGGGGTTGGATTTGATTTGCGTCTTACAAAGTTGGAAATTATCGAACACAATCAGTCGGAATCAGAATTTCGAATCCAATTTACTCCCTTCTCAACCAACATCAATCAGCCTTTATCGTACCTTGATTATTGCTATTGTATCCTTTCAATCCAAAATTAACACTTCTTCGTACTTGATTGGTTGATCGGCTTATAACTAAGTGCAAAGCATTTTTTTGGTTATCGGAGGAAATCTAACCCTAAACCTAAGCCTTTTGATAAGAAGCTCGGATCAAGTTAATAATTCATAGGTAGAAAGGCCAGATACATTGGACACTAGAATGAGGCGTACTTAGCTGTCCCTCCCATTTTAGTAATGAAAAACCAAGCCAACAAATAAAAATAGGGTGAAAGAGCTAGGGTTTATAGAAAAATCAATCTCATGCATCAAAATATTCGTAGGTGGACCGGATAATTCTCATGCAGAAATACACACATTTCCGAATGACTTTGTCAACTTTTGGACAACTCTATTTCCGAATGATCCATCCCTCCTCATTTGACCTTTGTAAACAGCCTTTCCAACTTCTATTCTTAGCCTCTCTCCTTCTCTCTCCCTCTCTCTTTCTCTCTCATCACTCACTCTTCCCTTTCCTCAATGCCATCAAAACTAACCACTATCAACCTTCGAATCCTTCTCCACCCGCACCCTGACTCAATTTTGTAGCGCAGCCCCCTCTAAAAGGGCGCACACGCTGCCCTTGTGCGTGTACGTACAACCCTCTTATGCTACGTACCTACACCACTATTTGGAGCAACGTAACAGGATGATGAAGATGATGATGATGATGATGAAGAAGCAGTGCGAATCATCATCGTTAATGTTGCCTCGTGCTCTTGCTTTCTTCTTCGTTTTGTTATATGTTTGTGTTGCCTCTCCTGCGGGGGCTTCTGAATCCGAAACTCTCCTCAAGCTTAAGGATTCCTTACAAAACACCGACGGATTAACCACTTGGACACCATTGACCAGTCCCTGCACCGCCCAAAAGCCGAACTGGATGGGTATTCATTGTGATCGAAGGGGGAGAGTTTGGGCTTTGCAGCTTGAGAATATGGGGCTCAAGGGTGAAATCAATGTGGGCTTGCTCCAGGACCTGCCTGACTTAAGAACCATAGGCTTTATGAATAACAGTTTTGAGGGTCCATTGCCTGATTTGAGGAAAATTATCGGATTAAAAACTGTCTACCTGACGGGTAATAAATTCTCTGGCACGATTCCTTCAGATTGGTTCGCAGGAATGTCATCGTTGAAGAAGCTCCACATGGCGAATAATCAGTTTACGGGAGAGATTCCGAAGTCGTTGGCAGGGTTGGATAAGCTGCTGGAGCTGAGTATTGAAGGGAACAAATTCGAAGGCAAGATACCAGATTTTAGGCAGCCCAGGTTGACAATATTTAACGTCTCCAACAACAAACTGGAGGGTGAGATCCCGAAAAGCCTAAGAAAATTGGATGCAAGCTCCTTTGCAGGTGAGCCTCAACTTTTCTCTCTCTCTCTCTCTCTCTCATTATCCCGGGAAGAATAATCATGTTTAAGAATCTGAATTTGAGTTGTTATTAATATATTACAATATATACCTTCCAATTAGGATTTTTCTTGTGAGAACTTTGACAAGCATAGTTGAGAAATCATAGAGAAGACCGAAAATCGATTAAAGCTTAAAGTCTTACATATTCAGTTAGCCATTTATTTTATAAACAAATCTTTCAAGCAATTCTTTTAAATTCAAGAACTAAATAAAAAGAAGATGGTAATGTTCTTTCTTCTTCAAAGGAGGAAAAAAGCGAGAGTCGAATTTTTGTAATGCGTACGTAGGTTAAGTTTATGAATGCGTGGAATAAAGAAGCGTCAGGCATAATCCTAAAGAATCTCCACAGAAAAATTTCCTCCCAGCTTAAATAGGTTCAAACATGTAAGTTAATTTATTAGGTGATAAGTGTCTTGTTTCAAGCAAATCAAAAGCACAGAGTACAGTTAGAGAAATAAAAGTATTGTTCTTAAAAGATTTAGGCAATTAAAAGTTTTCCACCTGGACATGCAGGGAATGAAGACCTATGTGGAGGGCCATTAAAAGCATGCAGTACCCCCTCGAAGAAGCCCGCAACCTGGATAATCGTGCTGATTGTGATCGCTGTCATAGTAGCAATCATCGCCATAATTGCTTTACTGGTCTTCCTCCTTGGACGCCGCAAAAAAACATCTGAATCATCGGTAGAGGCTCCACCACCATCAACAGCAACTGTCCAAAACAGAGCAGTTCAAAAAGAACCTGAGCACCAAGCAAGTGCTCCAGGCTCACCTGAAAACTCGATTAAAGGAGGGAATGGAAAGAAGGGTGAACAGAGCTTAAAGCTTTCATTTGTGAGAGACGACAGGGAGAGGTTTGATATGCAAGACTTGCTGAGAGCCTCGGCGGAGGTGTTAGGCAGCGGTTGCTTTGGGTCATCTTACAAGGCTGCTTTGTTGACCGGACCAGTGATGGTTGTGAAGAGGTATAAGCAGATGAATAATGTAGGAAGAGAGGAGTTCATAGAGCACATGAGAAGGATTGGGAGATTGGGACATCCTAATTTGCTTCCACTTGTTGCTTATTATTATAAGAAGGAAGAGAAGCTCTTGATTTCTGACCATGTTCTAAACGGCAGCTTGGCTGCTCATCTTCATGGTAAGTTCCTTTTCCTTTAAACATATACATGCATACAAAGCCTTTATCCAAAGGGATTTTCATTTTTTTGATAAAAATGAGGATTAGTTGTGGGGTCAATTATACATCGAACTTTAACTATCCGGACTGTCTATTTTTTAAGTCTTCAATCATAGATCATTTTTACAAAAATTCAATTCAATTCGAAACCCTTAACTCATTAGATTGTCATGATGAAATTTCAATGATTCTTAGAACCTAGTGTTTGTCAATTTTGTTGAACTCAATTAGATGCATCAAATATTTTTGACTTGGCTAATATTTTGTAAGGATGATCTATATATAAAGTGCAACTTGAAAAATAGACTGTTTGGATTATTGAAATTTAATGTGGTGTGAGCTGCACAACTAATCTCCATTTTTACCAAAATGGAGATCCCTTTATTTAAAGGGCCTATCTATACACACACACACACATATATATACATGAGTATACTGCCAATTTGCCCCCTGAACTATCACCCAACTTTCGATTTTCCCCCTGAACTTTTTAATTGGAAAATTAAGGACTTAAACTAATTTTTTTGGCCGATTTGCCCCCTGCTGTTAATTTTTCATTCATTCCATCCAAATTTTTGTTAAATGGAAGCATATGCACAACATGTGTGGGTAGTTCGGTCGCTTCATTCTTTAAAATAATTGAAAATCTTAGATTTCTAAAATATAAACCTATGCAAATATGTGTGATTCTATAGCTTTTGTATCTAAAGGTCTAGTGAAATGACACTTTTGTCCACAAATGAGAGTTACGTGGTTTGCACATGATAAGAGTTAACGTTAATTTGGATGAAATTTATGAAAAACTAACTGTAGGGGGGAAATTGGCCAAAAAAAATTAGTTTAAGTCCTTAATTTTCCAATTAAAAAGTTCAAGGGGGAAATTGAAAGTTGGGTGATAGTTCAGGGGGCAAATCGACAGTTTACTCTATATACATATATGTGTGTGTGTGTGTGTATTTTCATTTTACCTAAACATGAATGACAATATTATCTAGTTCTACTAATTGACGAGATCCTACCTTTAAGTGACAAAAACTATTTGTATACCACATCTCTAATAGAGATAGGCGGGTAATACCTTTATCAGAGATGTGGTTTACAATGTTGTCCATGTAGCATTGCTTGTACATATGAGTATGCAAAATTAATCTTTAATGTCATTATAGACAATTTTACTTCGTGTTTTAGTTGTACGTATTTCAACCCTTTTCTCTTCCCCGGTATCCCCTTTAGATTGAGGAAGAGACTTCAATGAATGGCTAATTAATTAGTTGGTGTTATCTGCACTTTCATGATCAGGAAACCAAACCCTAGACCATCCAAGCCTTGACTGGCCGACCCGTTTGAAGATTGTCAAAGGAGTAGCCCATGGCTTACGCTATCTCTACACTGAGCTTCCCAGCCTAGTAGCACCCCATGGCCACCTCAAATCCTCAAACGTTCTTCTCAACGAGTCCTACGAGCCCCTTATCACCGACTACGGCCTAATCCCTGTGGTAAACCAAGAACATGCTCACACCCTCATGGTGGCCTACAAGTCCCCAGAGTACATGCAAAGCAAGCGCGTGACAAAGAAGACCGACGTGTGGAGCTTCGGAGTGTTGATCTTAGAGATCTTAACGGGGAAGTTGCCCACCAACTTTTTGCAGCAAGGTAAGGGAAGCGAGGAGGATTTGGCAAGTTGGGTGAACTCGGTGCCTCGGGTGGAGTGGTTTAGTCAGGTGTTTGATACAGGAATGGGGGCAGGCAAGAGTAGTGAGGGAGAGATGCTGAAGCTCTTGAAGATTGGGTTGGAATGTTGTGAAGGTGAAGTGGAGAAGAGACTAGATCTGAAAGAGGTTGTGGAGAGGATTGAAGAGTTGGAGAGGGACAACCCTGGAGATTCAGATTTTTTCTCTACGTGTGCTAGCGAAGGCGACATGATGAAGATCGTTGGCTGATGAAACGATTCTCTCTTTCTGCATGACATGATCAATGGTTCATTGATTCAGAGATGACAAGAAAACTCTAAATTTGTATCTGTCACATCCTTCCCAATTCCCTCATCAGGATGAGATACAACAATGAACTGTTTTTCTATAAGATTTGGCTTTATAAGCAAGCTAGGTTTAAACAAAGTACTTCAATATTCCATAACATAATTCATTCTGAGTATAACCATTTATTCATCTAATAATCCTTAATTACAATATCATAGCCAAAGAGTTTATAAAAGTTCATTTGATCGCGCCACTTCTAAATGGAATAGGATTTGCACATGTTTCAAATTAATTGCAGGTTCAAAGCAATGTATATATTTACTCTCCACCTACGCAGGGCGCGGCTTTGAAGTAAGACCCTAGAGTTCTCTATCCCTCGACTCTTTGTACTAGGCGAGCCTTTGAAGTGAGATCCTAGAGTTCTCTATCCCTCGACCCTTCGTACATTGATATATATATAAAAAAATCCGCTAAATACATGAAAAAGTCTTACTATATCACATATCATTAAAAATTAATATTAAAAGAAGAAAGGTATACAAATTTAACATCACTTAAATGTTACACGACGATATTATCTACACTAAAGGGGAGGGGGATGAGAATACCACTAGACCGTAGTATTAAGTGTACAAATATGTTAATTAAGTTTGCATAATCTAATTTTTCAACCCTTTTTTTTTTCAATTGCCTATGATTACATTTTTTTATATATATTTTTATTGAATTTGAATTGTAAATACACACACACACATTTTCTTTAAAAAAAATTAAGGATCCTTCTGAAGTGGGGACCGCAAACAAATGCCTACTTCAGCTATCCTCTGGACCGACCTTGCACCTACGTACTCAATATATATCACTTGGCAATATTTTTCTTTTCAAAATCATCGGAGGAGGAAAAAAATTATTAAAGAACCAGTCAGACAAAAAAAGATCACTAACATCCCTCTTCCCACCTGCACCAAATAGAAAAAATTAAAAAAAAGGATGAATTTCCCAATAGTTTAGTAACTATAAATAAATGAATTCTGTCAATATTAACTCAAAAACTTAAGAGGTATTTTTTTTCTTTCTCTTACTAATTATAGAGAAAAATTTACTTCCAAAAAAGTCCTATGATCGATCCTAAGAAATAGGAGAAACTCGGACTGTGCAGCATGGCCACAACCTACAAGTGTCACCAAGGGCTAGCTAAAACAATTAAGTGCATGTACGTCCTTCCATATATATGTGTGTCTCTTTTCTCATGTGATGTGACGCGAGATTCGTGAGAAGATACACAAATACATGAGTATGCACCCAGTTGCATCTCTCTCGCCACTACCTGACATAAAAATGAATTTCCTTTTAACAGTGATTGAACAATTACAGTTGTCGTATTCTAACTGCAGATGTTCATATTGTAACGATACGCCCGACAACCAAGGGTAAGAACCAAGTCTAGGGCCTAGGCTTCATCGATCATTTATCTTTTGTTACCTGTAGTATATTTATCTCTTGTATATATGTTAAGCGAAATCCTCTCAGAGATCAATACAAGACCAAAAACTGAAACTTCTTAAGTGCCTTTTTTTTCTTATATATCGTTCTTCAACTTCTTCATTGTAATAGAGTCATCTCTAATTTAATGGTACGTACATGCGGAATTTCAAAACTTTGTTGGGAGACTTGGTTAATATTAGAAATTCTAACCGATGTGCGCGTTTTGGCATGCATCAGCATCAATCGTCTCTATATCTAATCCAGCGACAACTTTCTAAAATGATGCTGTAGATATGGGGGTTAATTAGCTCTGATAACCGAGTTAATGTTTGTTTTAATTAACTTTAAGTGGTTTTGAATATTTAAGTTCTATGGCCCTTAAGCATTTGGGAAGTTTAAGAGTACAGAAGGAAGGAGACATAAAGCTTTGCATTACTTTGTTATCTTTAAATTTTTTTTATTTTTTTCTCGAAATTTACTTATGTTCCCATATTCATGTTTGAGCAAGAAGTTGCCATATTCATGTCTGAGCAAGAGGTTGTTCAATCTGAGAGTTGAGAAAGAAGAAGGGCGAAAGAGAATAATGTGGTATAACAATGTTGATAATGGAAATAATAATCAAGGCGCGGGGATAATAGCAGTGGCAATCGACGACGGCGTCTCCAGCCAAAATGCTTTGAAATGGGCAATCGATCATCTCGTCTCTCGATCTACCAGCCAAGCTCCTATCAAGCTTGTCCATGTTATTCACCCATCCAATTCCAATAATACACTTCATGCAACAGGTACCTCCTCTCTGTATCTTTCATATATACATGCCATATATTGCCCGATAATTAGTTTTGTTCATCAATCAATATTGTGTTAATTATCATATTTCTAATAGAGGAAGGATTCATCTATGTAAACACACAGAAGTTTTCTGCGTGTTGAGATGACACAAGTAGCGGTACTCTTGCGTGAGTAATTAACACATTTTGTTTGATTTTTGATGGCGATTATAGCGAACAACCCATCAAATGAAGGGCAAGCTCACGATGCTCCAAATACAGATTTCTTACTTCCATTTCGTTGCTACTGTACGCGCAAACGAGTACGGTTCATTCAACTCTTAACTTTTTCTTTTTAAGAAACCTTTGCGGTTATAAATGATTACACCTAGTTTGGGGACATAAACCTTACCCCTTATTCATTTTTTAATCTGATGATCAACATATATACCTATATATATACACTTTACAATTAAGAAGCTAGTTGCTGATGACTAAATATTTTTAGTTATGACAAATTGTAAGTAGATGTACTTGATTTGTGGAATTAATATTATCAGGTACAATGCGAGGCTGTTCTACTGGAGGATCAAGATGTAGCTGAGGCATTAGCTGAGTACATTTTCCGCCATGGCATTGAGAGTATTGTTGTTGGTGCTACATCCAGGACTGGTGGGTTAACTAGGTATGCAACACATGTAAGATTGTGCGTGTATGTGCGTTTTTTATTTGTCCAAACTCATACGATTTTCAAAACATGTTGTTCAAGTAGGCGTCTATTCAAGGCATCTGAATCTATTCCAGGCAGAGTCCTGAAGTTGGCACCGCGTTTCTGCTCAGTATACACCATCAAACAAGGAAGGGTGAGCGAAATGAGTGAAGCATCTCGTCCACTTCCAAATATTCATGTTGAGGAGAGGGCAGCGGATCACCAGTCCGATCACATGTAAGCATTTATATATTCAATAAATTGGATCATTTAGCCAAACTTTCAATTTCTACCAAACATTACATTAAGAAACAAACAACCTAATCTATTGTCCAGATTCAGTCTAATAACATACAATTATTTGAAATGTGGACGTTGTTGGAATATAAGTGTGTGTGTGCTGTGTTTTCTTAATGTTTCTAAGTTTAAATGTGAGCCATTGGATTATAGACCAATTGGACAGCTGAGATGTAATCTTAGCTTTAGTTTTGCATATTGCCACTTGTATCTATCTTATAGGATAGATTACATGAAGGGTTGTGATTGAGTTGTGAATTCTCTTTCTTCGGGTATATCCTTGCACACGTCTTGTGTGCAGATAATGAATGAAAGAAAAGCTTTGTTCGTTTTGGTTTTTGCTTTGAACATCCTAGCTGCATTCATCTGTGTAGGAAGAAATCATTCATTTACTTCTTGATTTCATTTCTACAAAACAGGGTCATATTCCTACTTGCTAACATGGCCTCAGAGCCAAGTTCAATCGCTTAATCTGGGAGATTGAATCTGTGAAGAGATCTGTGTCTAACATGGCAGGATCTGGAGGAGGTGATATGAGAGCGCCGATCTTCACCGGCGAGAATTATGAATTCTGGAGTATAAGAATGAAAACTATTTTTAAGTCTTATGGACTATGGGAATTTGTGGAAAAAGGAATCGAGAGCTCAGATTCGAAGGGAGCTGCCTCAGATCTGAAGATGAAGGAGACAGAGGGATCGAGTGACGCTTCATTGCTCACGGAGAAGCTCATGAAAGATGCCAAGGCGCTTGGGTTGATTCAGGGAGCAGTCTCGGATGAAATTTTTCCTCGGATTTCACACGAAGAAACTTCTAAGGGAGCCTGGGATATTCTGATGCAAGAATTTCATGGAGACAAACAGGTTAGAAGTGTTAAACTACAAGGTCTTCGTAGAGAATTTGAGTATACCAGAATGAGAGATGATGAATCAATTTCTATTTATCTTACAAAATTATTCGATCTGATAAATCAAATGAGAAGTTATGGAGAAGAGTTATCTAGAGAGAGGATTGTGCAAAAATTATTAATTAGCTTACCTTCTGCGTATGATTCTATATGCTCTGTGATTGAACACTCAAGGGACATAGATGTGATTGAGGTTCAAGAGGTAGTAGCCTCACTGAAAAGTTTTGCACAGAGGTTGGAGAGACATAGTGAAAACAAAACTGAGAGAGCATTTGCAAGTTTAAGTGTGAATCCCAAGTCTGTCAATTCTCCTGGAAATCAAGGAAATAGATATCAAAAGAATTGGAAGCCAAAATACAAAAATTGGAATCAAAAATCTGTCTATCAATCTGGAAAGCAAATTGTAGTTGCAGAAGGGGGAAGAAATCCTTGCAAGCACTGTGATAAGTACCATTATGGAGAGTGTTTTCTTAAAGGCAAGCCTAAGTGTCATTGTTGTGGAAAAATTGATCACATTGCAAGGGATTGTAATACTAAGAAAAATGCTCAAGGTGTTCAACAACTAAACTTTGCAGCTCAAATTCCTGCTACAACTACTATGTTCTATGTCAGTAATGAGGTTGACAAGAAGCCTATTGAAGATGTATGGTATGTGGATAGTGGTTGTAGTAACCACATGACAGGTAGAGAAGATGTATTGATTGACATTGACAGAAGCATAACTGCCAAGGTAGAAATGGGAACTGGACAGTTGGTTGATGTGATAGGAAAAGGAAGTTTGGTAGTGGATACAAAGATGGGAAGGAGATATATACATGAAGTAATGCTTGTCTCAGGTCTCAAAGAGAATCTACTAAGTGTAGGACAGATGATGGAGCATGGGTATTTCCTTATTTTTGGAGATAACAAAGCAGAAATTTATGATGATTGTTCTCTTTCAAATTTGGTTGCTAAGGTACCAATGAGAGGAAACCAAAGTTTTCCTTTGAAATTCCAAACAGATTTGCATCTTGCATTAAAAGCAAGTGTAAATGAGTCAACATTGATCTGGCATAGAAGAATGGGGCATCTAAATGTTAACAGTCTGAAGCTACTACAGGAGAAAGAAATGGTATTTGGATTGCCAGAAATCAAGATCACTAATAATGTGTGTGAGGGGTGCACTATTGGGAAACATTGCAGAGACTCTTTTCAAAGGGAGACAGCAAGTAGAGCTACTGTTCCATTGGAGTTGGTACACACAGATGTGTGTGGACCAATGCAAACCATTACCAAAGCTGGAAATCGATATTTTCTTACTTTCATAGATGATTGTACTCGGATGTGTTGGGTATATTTTTTGAGATACAAATCAGATGTATTCAATGTGTTTAAGAAGTTCAAGGCCACTATTGAATTGCAAAGTGGATATAAGTTGAAAAAGCTAAGAAGTGATCGAGGAGGTGAATACACATCTATTGAGTTTAATAGATTCTGTGAAGAAGTGGGAATGGAAAGGCAACTCACTGTGGCATACTCACCACAGCAGAATGGAGTGGCTGAAAGGAAGAACAGAACTATTGTAGAGATGGCTAGATGTATGATGGTTGAAAAGAATATACCACTGGAATTTTGGGCTGAGGCAGTCAACACTGCAGTGTATGTTCTAAATAGGTGTCCAACTAAGGCATTAGATAAGAAAAACTCCATTTGAGGCTTTTAGTGGAAGAAAGCCAGGGATCAAACATCTAAAAGTGTTTGGTTCTCTGTGCTATGCACATATTCCAGAGCAGCAGAGACAAAAGCTTGATTCAACCAGTACAAAATGTGTGTTTCTGGGATATGGAAGTTGTGAGAAAGGCTACAAGCTTTACAATATCGACTCTGGAAAAGTCATTATTTCCAGAGATGTGGTGTTCAAAGAGGAAGCTTGTTGGGATTGGAATGCACAAAAGGAGTGTAGTCTTAAAGTACCAATTACTGACTGTCTTACTGAGAAAGGACATGAGACTGAAGGAACAAGTTTGAGTCAAGCTGAGATCTCTGAAAATGATGTTGAAATACCAGAAGAGAGTGAAGAAATACACGTTAGATTTAATTCAGGTCCACAGGATGTTGATCACACACCTCTGAAATATAAAAGTATTGCAGAAGTGTATGAAAGATGTAATCTGTGTATACTTGAACCTGAAACATTTGAAGAAGCTGCCAAGGATGAAGCATGGCAGAAAGCAATGGAGAGTGAAATTGAAATGATAGAAAAGAATAATACTTGGGAGCTAGTTAATAGACCATCTGATAAACCAGTAATTGGTGTCAAATGGGTTTACAAACTTAAGCTGAATCTTGATGGCTCGGTTCAGAAAAACAAAGCAAGACTGGTTGCAAAGGGATACTCTCAAAAGCCTGGTATAGACTTCAATGAAACTTTTGCACCGGTTGCTAGGCTTGATACAATAAGGACCTTGGTTGCTTTGGCTGCACAGAAAGGATGGAACCTTTATCAGTTAGATGTGAAGTCAGCATTTTTAAATGGAGTCTTGCAGGAAGAGGTTTATGTTGATCAACCCCCTGGGTTTGTGATTAAAAACAAGGAAGATGGGGTGTACAAACTCAAGAAGGCACCTTATGGTCTTAAGCAAGCTCCAAGAGCTTGGTATGAAGAAATCAATTCCTATTTCACCAAGGCAGGTTTTCAAAGAAGTCCTAGTGAGGCAACTTTATATGTGAAGATTGCTAAAGATGGAATACTTATTGTTTCACTGTATGTAGATGATATAATCTACACTGGGAATTCTAAAGAATTGTTGATGGAGTTCAAGACTGCAATGATGAGACAATATGAAATGACTGATCTTGGTTTGTTGCACCATTTCTTGGGTCTTGGTGTGATACAAACTGATAATTGCATTTTCTTGCATCAGAAGAAATATGCAAAGACACTGTTAGACAAGTTTGGTTTCAAGGATTGTAAACCCGTGGCTACTCCTCTGGCTGTGAATGATAAACTGTCTAAAATGGATGGTAGTGAACAAGCTGATGAAGGTCTATATAGGCAGATTGTTGGAAGCCTATTATACTTGACTGCAACAAGGCCAGATATCATGTTTGCAGCAAGCTTGTTGGCAAGATTCATGCATGGTCCTACTAGAAAAACATATGGGAACAGCTAAGAGGGTGCTGAGATACATTCAAGGCACACTTGACTATGGTATAGCATATGAGAAAGGAAATGAAGCAATGCTTATCGGCTACTGTGACAGTGATTGGTCAGGTAGTGAGGATGACATGAGGAGCACATCAGGATATGCATTTAATCTTGGTTCAGGAGTGTTTTCATGGGCATCAGTCAAGCAAAGTAGTGTTGCATTATCTACTGCAGAAGCTGAATATGTTAGTGCAGCAGAGGCCACAACACAAGCAATTTGGTTGAGATTTGTTCTCTCGGATTTTGGTGAAGAACAGGTTGAACCAACTACAATCTTATGTGACAATACATCTGCTATTGCCATAACCAAAAATCCTGTGCATCATCATAAGACAAGACATATAAACAGGAGGTTTCATTTCATTCGTGATGCACTGCAAGATGGAGAAATTGACTTACTGTACTGCAAGACAGAGGAACAAGTTGCAGATATTTTCACTAAGGCTTTGTCTAGAGATCGGTTTGAATTTCTGAGACAGAAGCTTGGAGTAATTTCAGCACAACACTTAGAAGGGAGTGTTGGAATATAAGTGTGTGTGTGCTGTGTTTTCTTAATGTTTCTAAGTTTAAATGTGAGCCATTGGATTATAGACCAATTGGACAGCTGAGATGTAATCTTAGCTTTAGTTTTGCATATTGCCACTTGTATCTATCTTATAGGATAGATTACATGAAGGGTTGTGATTGAGTTGTGAATTCTCTTTCTTCGGGTATATCCTTGCACACGTCTTGTGTGCAGATAATGAATGAAAGAAAAGCTTTGTTCGTTTTGGTTTTTGCTTTGAACATCCTAGCTGCATTCATCTGTGTAGGAAGAAATCATTCATTTACTTCTTGATTTCATTTCTACAAAACAGGGTCATATTCCTACTTGCTAACAGACGTCTGCATTGTGGATTTTGAGTGAACGCTTGAATGTTGGAGCTGATGTCTGCACTTGAACTGGCATATGAATATGTTACTTATTTGACTCATTTGTTAATTAACTGATTTGGTTGATGCTTGTCTAGAGGTAGAGGTCCGATCTACAGAGCATATGATGAGGTCTCAGTGGCTGAGAATGATGTTTCGTTTCAAAGCTCAGAAAGACCAAGTACTGACAGCATTTTATCCTTCTATCAAAGTTTTGGTCCAGCTGGACTGACCCGATTTCCTTTAGAATCATCATCAAACATGGAGAGTATTGCAAAACTGGACGAAGATTTTGACAGTTTTGATTTTTACACTCCACATGAACCGTCATCAACCGTACAACGTTGTGGAGGAACACCACTCTTGTCGCAGAAAGTATTGGTAAGTTGTTTGAAAAGGATACGAGTAAAACTTAATTACCAACTAAACATGAAAGAAAGTTCATTTTGATTCGAAATCTTTGGTACTTGCAGGATGACATGGAAGAGGAGATGAAAAGGCTTAGAGTGGAGCTGAAGCAAACAATGGACATGTACCACGCAGCCTGCAAAGAAGCAGTGGCAGAAAAACAGAAGGTTAGCTTAATTTGAACCCTCATAAATCTTCCTAGCTACTTAGAGCTAGCATTTTTGGCTAATAGCATTTTCTCTTACCATCTAAAGTTTTTTGGTTTCATGCATGTATTTCACTGATCTGTTTGCTCTTCCATCTCTCTCATAAAGGTAGGACCACTTGCATATATATGCCGGAGCTCCAGATTTGGTTAGCAATGTGATCATAGTAACTTGTTCAAACATTCTTGCTAGACTGAGGCCCCGTTTGGTATTGCTTTTTTTTTTTTCACTAAAAATTGCTTCACTTTAAAGTTAAGCAGTAAAAAAGTGTTTGATAAAAGTAAAATACCTTGCTTATTTTAAAAGTAACAGGCTCTAGACAACAACTTCTAAAAATAGCATGTAGGTTACTTTTAAAAGTTGCTTTAACAAAAAGCAGAGTTGGGTCTTTAATAAATATTTTCAATTGTTGTATACCTTCATTAATTTTTTTTAAGTAACATTATTTAGCTTTCCACACACATTATATCTTTTAGAGAAAAAAAGTAAACACTACGTTCTACCACTATAAATACTAACCTTACACCATCACCGCCATTATAACCACCGTTTTTGCCACCACCACCGCCATAACCACAACCTCCACCATTGTCACCATTACCTGCACCGTTGTCACCACTGCCATTACCTCCACCGCCACCAGCACTACCACCATTGTTACCACCATCGGTGCCGCCATTGCCCCCACCACCATCATTACATCAACCGCCACCACAACCATAACTACCACTACGTACCACCATCATTGCCGCCACCGCCACCACTACTACCACCATCATTGCCGCCATCGCCACCACCACAATCACAACCACAACTACCACCACTACCACTTCTACTACCACCATCATTGCCGCTATCGCCACCGCCACTACCACCATAACCGCAACCACAACTACCACCACTACCACCGCAACCACAAATGTCACTATTGGTGCTACCACCGCCCTACCACCATTGTTACCTCTCCACCCCAACCAACACATCCCCCTATTAGCATCACCACCACACCTCCCCGCAACCACCACCACCACCACCACCACCATTACCACCACTACTGTCGTTAACCCCCCTCCTATTACTATGTCCATTTGTTATTGTATACAATTATATCACTTTTATTAAATTTTAACAAACACTTTTGAGCTGCTTTTTATACTCACAACACTTTAAAATTTCAGTTAACCAAACTCTTATCAGCTTTATTTTACATCTGATTATTCTTAAAACATATCAGAAGCAGTTTTTTTTTTTTTTTTTTTTTTTTTTTTTTTTTAAAACACAACAATCCCAAACTGGCCCTAGTACCGTAAAATATTTAGACTACACATTCCTATAATGTATAGGTAACACTCAACCTGATCAATAATTTCATATTCACAGTCAAACAATACGACGAGAGAGAAAAAGTATATGGCATTAAGATTTAAATCTATTTTGTTATTTGATCCATGCATCCTTGGAGTACAGTTATCAACTAAACTTTGAGTTTTGTTTTTTTTTTTTTTTGTCGAAAACTTGGAGTATATTATATCGTAATGCGGTATACCTTCATCTATTTTATTATTTGAATTTAGTGTCTCAATAACTATCCTGAGTGTAGTCTTCTCATCTTTCTCATATCCAATACAGACAATTGAGCTACAAGAGTGGAAATTGACAGAAGGGAAAAAACTAGAAGAGGCACGACATGCCTTAGAAGCAACTAGGGCAGCTATGGAGAAGGAAAAAGCACATCCTAAAGCAGCAATTTTGGCAGCTGATCATCGTCACGAAGCAGCACATAGGTTTGCTGAGAAAGAAGTGCAAACAACAATCAGTGCAGATCAAATATTCAAAGCATTAAGGGAGGCTGACAATGAAGAGAAGAAACGAGTTTTGGATGCTTTAGGCCAGTCCCAATTAGTTTTCAAATACCAAAGCTTAGTTCATATCTTAGTTGTTTTATTGTTATTTTCTTTTTACTGTTCACTGTTTTAGTGAATTCGTTTCCACAGATTTAAGTGGCCTTTCTATGGCATTTCAACTGATTTGTTTTTCTCAATATATTCATGTTCAAGGAAACTAGATAGGTACTAGTTGTATAGCATCTTAGAATTAAGTTGGGATTCTAGTAGAGATTGGGTCAAATGACAACCAATAACAAAGTAATTAAAGCACACGAAAGATCATATAAACATTCATTACGTTCTTTTTTTAGAATCCAGCCCAACCGCTGAAGCTCAGAGGTGAGATCCGGACCTCCCTTTTGCCTCTCCCCCATCTCCACAACCATAGCCTCCTTGAACTCCCTGACCTGCTGCTGCCATAAATCAATTGCAACATGGGATAGGATGTTGGGGCTTAAAAAAACTTCACTGCTTTGGAGTTGTTTATCTCACAAAGAAGAATGTAATGAAGCAGAATTGATAGGCAAGAGAAAGAAAGAACACTCAATGTATTACACAAGATTTTTATTCACTCACAAACTTAGTACAAGAGGAAACACTCAAACACTCTTAGAAGCTTTGTTGCTTCTTCTCACTTCTCACTACTTGGCTCTCTTGGTTGTTGCAAATGGTGTGGATGCCTTCTCCTTTTATAGGCATGGATGGAACCTTGGAGAAGTATGGAAACATCATGCTAGATATATCTAGACAATTCCACTACCTTCCTATGCTAGAATTATCTACACTGATCTTGTATGTTGGTGGAATCCTCATCATTCTTCTAGACTCTTCCACCAACTTGAACTTTGCTAGAATTCTCTAACATGTGCATGGATCTTTCTTTGTGCATGGGCTAGATCCATTATCTTTGGGCCAAGACAAGATTACAATTCAACATCCCCCCTTAATTTTGTCTTGTGACGCCGATTGTGTTCCTCAATCTGACAAAGTCTTCTTGCCTGAGTGGTTTGGTGAATATGTCGGCGACTTGGTCTTGTGACTTCACGTATTCCACTTGCATATCCTTTCTTGCAATACACTCTCTTATGTAATGATACCGGGTATCTATGTGTTTGCTCCTGTCATGGAATACTGGATTCTTTGCTAGAGCTATTGCAGACTTATTGTCGACATATATCTCTGTTGGCTCTTCTTGTGGCATGCTTAATTCTTTCAGCAAGTTTCTTAGCCAGATTGCATGACAGACACATGAGGTAGCAGCTACGTATTCAGCTTTGCAGGTAGAGAGGGTGACAATCGGTTGCTTCTTCGACATCCATGTGAATGCAGTGTCTCCCATGAAGAACACAAATCCAGTAGTGCTTTTTCTATCTTCGGAATCTCCTGCCCAATCACTGTCGCTATACCCAACAAGTTTGTAGTTATCAGAACTTGAATAGAACAAGCCAAAGTTAACAGTACCTTTAAGGTATCGAAGAATTCTTTTAGCGGTCTTCAAGTGTGTAGTTGTGGGATTCTCCATGTAGCGACTGACTAATCCGACGGCATAGAGAATGTCTGGTCTTGTGCATGTCAAGTAGCACAAGCTTCCAACTAAACTCTTGAAAAATGTTGGATCTACACTTTTTCCTTCGTCATGCTTGGTTAGTTTAACTTCGCACTCCACTGGTGTGCTTATGGGCTTGCAGTCTTCCATTTTGAACTTTTTCAGTATCTCCTTTGTGTAGCTTTCTTGGGAGATGAAAATGCCTTCTTTGTTCTGCTTGACTTCAATGCCTAGGTAGTATGCCATCAACCCGATGTCGGTCATCTTGAATTCTTTGGTCATCACTCTCTTGAACTCTTCATACATGCTTGGATTACTTCCGATGAAGATTAGATCATCCACATATAAGCACACAATCAGAATATCTTCATCTTTGACTTTGACGTAGAAAGCATGTTCATGAGGGCACTTGATGAAGTTGTTTTCTTGGAAGTACTTGTCGATGCGACTATTCCATGCTTGTGGTGCTTGTTTTAACCCATAAGGGCTTTCTTCAGCTTCAGAACTTTGTCTTCATGACCTTTGATTTCATAGCCTGACGGTTGCTGAATGTATACTTCTTCTTCAAGGACTCCATTTAGGAAAGCGGACTTCACATCCATTTGTTGAATCTTCCATTTGTTTTGAGCTGCCAAAGAAATTAGTAATCGTATAGTTTCCAACCGAGCAACGGGTGCAAATACCTCATCATAGTTGATTCCGGCTCTTTAACTATAGCTCTTTGCCACTAATCTCGCCTTGTATCTTTCGACCTCTCCGTTGGCATTCTTCTTTGTCTTGTACACCCACTTGACTCCAATGGCTTTGTGTCCTTTTGGAAGAATAACGATTTTGCATGTATCGTTCTTCTGGATTGCTTCAATTTATTCATCCATTGCTTTCCTCCACTTAGTATCTTGCACTGCTTCTTGGAAGTCAACTGGTTCACAATCAGCAAAGAGATAGAAAAGTGTAGGATTATCGAGTCTTTCAGCTACCTCACAGAGATCTCGTAGACTTCTTGTGCATGGTACTTCTCTTTCAATTAGACTCCCACTTGATGATGCTGATGCTGGTGAATTACTATGATTGGTTGATGTTGGTGAAGCAGGTGAAGTAGTTGATTCTTGTTGAACCTCTCTTGCTTGCTCCATCATCCCTTGTTCATTATCTTCTTCAAACTAAGAAAAGAAGTGAAGATCACTTGCATGAGAGCCAAAATCCTATTCTCCTTCTTCATCGAACGTCACGTCTCGACTGATCACCGTCTTCCCATTATTTGGATTATACAGTTTATAACCTTTTGAATTTGAGTCATAGCCGATGAAGATGAACTTTTCACTTTTATCGTCGAGTTTGGTTCTCCTTTCGTCTGATACATGTACATGGTCTATGCTTCCAAAAACTCTTAGATGAGAGATACCTGGCTTTCTTCCACTTCATACTTCTTGCGGAGTCTTTCCCCACACACTTCTTGTTGGAGACCGATTTGATAGGTAGACAGCACATGCTACAGCTTCTGCCCACAGCTCCTTAGGCAATCTCTTACTTTTGAGCATGCTTCGAGCCATGTCGAGGATGGTTCGATTTTTTCTTTCCGCCACACCATTTGTTGAGGGGATCTTGGAACTGTCAAAGGTCGACGAATTCCATTGGCTTCACAAAATTCTTGAAATTCCTTCAAAGTGAATTCTCCTCCTCAATCAGATCTTATGGCTTTGATCTTGCAACCATTTTCTTTTTCTACAGCGGCTTTGAACTTCTTGAATGCTCCAAATACCTCTGATTTCTGCTTTAAGAAATACCTAGGTTTTCCTTGAAAAATCATCAATGAAGAGAAGGAAATAATTATTTTTACCCAAAGAACTTGGTTTTATTGGACCGCACACATCGGTATGAATGAGCTCGAGTGGCTTCTAGGCTCTTGTGGTTGACTCTTTTGGAAAGCATTTCTTGAACTGTTTCCCATGTAAACATCATTCGCAAGCTTGATCAGGGCGACTGATGCATGGTAAGCCTCTCACCATCTCCTTCTTAGACAATAACTCTAGTCCTCCAAAGTTAAGATGCCCAAAAGAAACGTTACCACTCACCGATTCATTGAGCTCTACGAACATGCTTATTCTTCTACATATGTGGTTGCTGGTGCCGATGTCAAGATACCATGTATAGTCTTGGTCTCCATCATTGTTCTGGCATGCTAGTAGCACAACGCCATTATCTTCTTTCTCTTCTTTCACATAATTAACCTTCTCATCAAGCCTGTTGCTTGGAGCTCTACATTCCCAAGCATAATGCCCAAACTTTTGACAATTGTAGCATTGAACTTGAGATTTTTCATACCTCAAGTTTGAGCGCCCTCTTCCACGACCTTTTGTTGAGCTTCCTCCTCTTTCGTAGTTGTTATGATTGTTGAAGTTCCAACCACGTCCACGTCCGCGACCTCGACCACGACTTCTTTCATATTAGCTTATCTCGTTGTCCAAACTTTCTTCTTTCTTCTTTGGTTGGACATGCGTCATGAGGAGCTGCTTATCATTCCCTTGCCTCTTCTTATGTTTCTCTTCTATGCCTGTAGCGAACCCATTAATTGCTCTATACTAATTTTTTCCAAGTTTTTAGTTTCTTCAATCGTCACAACAATGTGCTCGAACTTGGGGTCCAACGAGCGTAGTATCTTCTTCATAATTCTAACGTCTTCTAACTTTTCTCTGTTTCTTTTTACTTGATTGGAAACGGCTAGGACTCTTGAGAAATAATCAGATATTGATTCAGACCCTTTCATATGTAGAGATTTGAACTCACCTCTTAATACTTGAAGACGAACCTTTTTCACTTGTTCGGCTCCTTTGTAAGAGATTTGAAGCTTCTCCCATGCTTGCTTGGCAGAGGTTGCACTTGAGACCTTCTCAAAGCCATTGTCATCTAATGCTTGGTAGATGAGGTAGAGAGCATTCTTGTCTCTCTTTCTTGAATCTTTCAAACTTTCCTTCTGGGGTTGGCACAGAGTAGCTTCATCTTCTGGCTCAGTGTAGCCTTTCTCCACGACTTCCCATACATCGTGTGCTCCCAAAAGGGCCTTCTTTTTTATACTCCAATTATCAAAATTGTTGTTGTCGAGCACTGGAACTTGGAAGGCTGCCATAGCGTTGCTAGCCATAGCTCTGGTACCACTTTGTTGGGGCTTAAAAAAACTTCACTGCTTTGGAGTTGTTTATCTCACTAAGAAGAATTTAATGAAGCGGAATTGATAGGCAAGAGAAAGAAAGAACACTCAATGTATTACACAAGATTTTTATTCACTCACAAACTTAGTACAAAAGGAAACACTCAAACACTCTTAGAAGCTTTGTTGCTTCTTCTCACTTCTCACTACTTGGCTATCTTGGTTGTTGCAAATGGTATGGATGCCTTCTCCTTTTATAGGCATGGATGGAACCTTGGAGAAGCATGGAAGCATCATGCTAGATATATCTAGACAATTCCACTACCTTCCTATGCTAGAATTATCTACACTAATCTTGTATGTTGGTGGAATCCTCACCATTCTTCTAGACTCTTTCACCAACTTGAACTTTGCTAGA